TTCTCACAACTTGAAGGCTTGTGCAAAAAAGTTCGATGTTGATCTGGTTTTTAGTTCCGACTATAAATTGAGTAAGCTCACGCCCTTCCACAAGAGTGTAAGGGAATGCACAAAAATGCATCGAGAAAAGTCTATTCCGTGTGATAATGGAGTGGTATACGAAATTCCCCTAGAATGTGGTTTTAAGTATGTGGGTCAAACGTCGAGGTGTATAAATGATAGATTGACTGAACACAAAAGAAATGTAAAAAACAACGCGACTGATTCGGAAATAGCGAAACATGTTCAAGAATGTAATAATTGTATACCACGCTGGTCCGAGACAGAAATAATACACAGGGAAGTAAACGACATCAAAAGGGTTGTAAAAGAAACAATAAGAATGAAATCAATGGGCAACTGCATTAGTCAAGTGTCGTTACGGCTTAGCAGCAGTGCAAAAACCTTCTTGCGGATTTGAGAGTTTTGTTAAGTGGTTGTTGTTTGTGAAAGGGTGTAAGTGGTTTCCTCCTTTGTGTCTTTGGTTTGGATCAGGTGGATTGGTATCTTTTGTTGCCGGGTTGTTTCGGGATTGTGGGCCGGGGAGGAGAGGAGGAGTGTGTGCTTTGTACGCGAAGGTCGATCGTCTTCCGGGAGAGAGGAGATAGGTTGTGTTGGTGAGGGGGCTTTGTAGGATTGTCAAGGTCGTTTGATTATTGTGGTGGAAAGAGATGAGTTCTTTGTTATCTTTTGGCTTTGGAGGTCGCGAAGGTTCTGTGGTGAAGGTTGTGGAGTGTATATAAAGGGGTGTCCAAACAGGACACTACAAAACCCGCGACTCCGACAAATCGTGAAAATTGAAGCGGACGCTTCTATTTTTACGGTCTGTCGGAGTCGTGAAAATGCTCGCAGGAGTCGTGAAAATTTTTGCGATCACGACTGCTCTCCTCTTCAGATTGACGTCACACGCCACCTGCGTCTGTCTCACCTCGCCAACGCCCTCGCGTACCGCCGACGCCTCAGCTCGTAGGCCAAGGAGGTCCGGCTTTGGGTGGATTTGGGACATTCCTGCGTCGAAGGGTGCGTTTCGCCCGCCTCGGATCTGCTTTCTTTGTCGAGATTCACTTTCGTCGTGATGGCGTCCGATGCGGTTCCGTATTGTGAGCGGAGGCCTTGAGCAATTGACCGACAGCCAACGGAGCGTGTGAGTGGCTCTCCGGACCCACGTGATGAGCAGAGCAAGGCCGCCGTGGAGGAAGCGAGGGGGAGATTTGACGGAGGGAAGTTTCCCCCCGGGAAGAATTGACGGAGGGAAATTTCCCTCCGACGGCCGGAAGCGGATCGCGGCAGAGCGCAGCACGATTTGCCGGAGTCGCGGGTTTTGTAGTGTCCTGTTTGGACACCCCTTAAGAGGGTGACCGAATAAACTTGTCTTTAGCTGTGTTAGAGACGTATCCTCGACTGTTCCTTTTTCTTCTACTTTGAAACTTCCTCTTTTCCTGCCTCAGTCTCAGGCTAACATCAGAATGGTTAATTTCCACCAGCTCGCCTGCGCACTCACTACAATATCATCAGGGCTTAATCAGCTAGCTTGTCGTTTCTGATGTTTTATTGTGCGGGCTGTCCCCTCCCTTCGTAAATGCCGGATCAAAAGCACGATGAACGTCAGGTCCGGTTTGGATTTGGAATTTATTTATCAAATATACCCCGAGGGCCCGAAGGCACTATAGAGGGGGATGGCAAACAAAAACAGGCGGTAAAAGTGTAAAGTACTTGTGTTGTACGTATCTTCAGACAGCCGGATGTTAGTCTGCCTCAATGAACAACTTGTCTCTCAGGTGTAGATGAGACATTTAGCTGCAGTGCAGTACAATCGCTAGCCATGGGGTCTTTAACGTGCATCACGCAGTAGTGATACACGACCGCACGCCGGTACGACGCTCATCCGACCAAATAAGCAGGGGTGGGGATGTAACCCAGGATTCCTGACTTCTGCAGCATGAACTTTCGCTCCACGCGCTCCGAGCTGGTGTGCGTGAGCACACTCTGCCACTCATTACCCGGTAAATCTGTCGCAAATTAATTAAATAATCAATTGGGCGGAAACAATCGTCAGGTCTGAAACAGGCCGGACGTTGTTGTCGTTTTGTCGGACCAAAGCTTGATGAATGTGAGGCCAAGAACGGATCGAAAATTAAGGCGTGAACAAACTTCGGGGCTTATAATCAAGGCCGTAGTACGTTTTAGCTGCTTAGCGCAATTAGGAATTCAGTGTCGAAAGAACCAACAATTTGGCATTGCGCTCTTCGTGGAGGACGATGCGTAAGCGGTTTCCGTTTGCGGTGGTCTAGAAGTTGATTTTGCTTTGTAGACAAAATAAATATCGGGCCCTCACGACATATCTGAACTACGAGGTAGTGACATCCGACAATTTTGTGTATTATATCGTCATTTGTTTTTCTTTTTTGAGTGGGTGAAAGTTTATTTTCTGCCTCAAGCCCTTACTGCAGAAGCTCCATTTACCATTTCGGATCATGCTGCTATTTTTTTATATATATTTTACCCGTGACCGCGTGCTGCGTGTATTGAGTGTAAAACTAAGTTCCATCACTTTATGGAGAACACCTGAGCCGTCCTAAACTACAAACCTCGGGAAACAATCGAAAACGGGCAGTTTGTAAATTGCCTCTAAGTTTACAAAATCACGTTGGTCCGCGTGGCTTCTTTTTTTTTTTCTTCTAAAGACACATGAACATACAGGTGTCTTTCGCCACGAGGTCATTGTTTGAGTAATGCTCGATTCGCGAGCAGTAACTACTGCCTTGTGCCATTTCGTTCGTAAATCCCTCATTGAGTGCCGGTTAGGGTTAGTCATTGCCGGCCATTTTGGTCAGCATCAGGTTCGAGGAGGCTGACTCGCACATTTGAGCTTGAGTCACGACCGACTTCGTTACGACCCATTGCATTCCGATGCGTTGGGCGAACCTCCGTTGCCATAGCAATTAACTCCCTCGTCATAAGTATTCATAAGGAGCACACAATATACCTTTTTCGATTACTCTCGCCCCCAGACACCTACTAGGCACATCCGGTTATGGGCGACGAAAAAAGAAAAAAAAAATGTCATCCCGCAAAAAGTAAAAAGAACATGAAGGGAAGGCAAAACGAGAATGGGTGACGGTTATGCTTATATCCTAAATGTATGCTATTGTCGTGGCGACGGCAAAACTATGTTTTCACCCAACCTGAAAGTGACGACATTCAAGATGGCGTCGCCCTTGTGGAAAAGTTCCGATGACTCCGATACCCGATACTGCGCCACCGCCTTTGTATCGTTATCAAGTATTGTTCTTGGGGCTGTCGGAATGATCTACAAGAACTCTCTAAAGACTGAATCAACCTTTAGAAAACAAACGTTGGCAGCACCATCCGGGTGGTATATGTCATCCAGACATGCATATGGTATCTCGGACTTGTGCGTTCGCCGCGTCCTCATTTAATTGTAGTGATCTCCTTCTCATGACGTCACAGAGGTGTCCTACAGTTGTAAGGTCTAGGGTGACCACCCGTCTCGTGACTCGCGGGACTGCCTTGCATTGAGGGCTCGTGTCCCACATCCCGCGAGAAATTCTAAAATCTTCAAAGTGTCCCGCATTTCAAACTGTCGTAAAATTCACTCCGCAACTCATAGTGTTGCCGAACAACGGGGCACGGGGAAGCTCGGAGGTCGCTGGTAATCGTGTGAATCGGAATGGTACGCCATTTTCTATCCAAGCAATGCGGGGAGCGACCGTCGTTCTTGGAGGAGACCCGACACGCATGCTCCGTTGTGCCTCTCCCTTTGGTGGCAAAATATTGCAGGAGAAAATCGTTCGTCAAAAGTTTAAATATAAAATATTGTAATTATTTTTAAAGTGCTCTATCAATGCAAAAAAGTTGCTGTAGACTTTTTTTTTTAGTGAAGACAGCACACTCACAGCGGTCGAAAAAGAACATAATGTTAAAATTTTGTGTAGGACCATGTTGATAAAAATAAGCGTTGACAGGAAACAATAGCCCAAAAAAATATTTACTGTTTCTTTTTTTCGATTTGATGAATTGAGTTTTGATAAAGTCGATTTGTATGTTTTCAACTTCGACACATTTAATAACATGTTTGACACTCAGTAAAATATATCACTGTGAGTGGAAATTATTTGAGCTTTATTGCTACAATACAATTAGCAGGCGCATAAACAGTACGGGATAATAAATAGAGCCTCGGTTCGTTGTGTGGGTGTCAATAAATACCCCCCTGCCCCGCGTGTCCCGCATTTCGCCATAATTTCACTAGCAGGAAGGTGGTCACCCTAGTAAGACCCCTAGGGGCCTGATACAGTTGTGGTCTGCCGCGATCCTGGCGGTGGTCGCGCAGCAGAGGCGGTGGATATGACAGACGCTTGTTCTGCTGTAGGCCGCTCTCCATGGTTGACAGTCCATGGAAGCTTCAGTAGTACACATTGTTTACAAACAAGCGTGCGTCTGCCCACACGAAGCGATGGGCACTGCGCAAGCGCAGAAACCAGGTTCGCATGAAGAGATCGTGCGCCGCGCCAACAGCAGCGCCACCGCGGCTCTGTGACGTGGAGCAAGGAACACATGGGCGACAACAACGGGCGCCGGGCGGCAGTTTCCATGCCAACTTGCGCGGACGCCGTGACGTGACAGCTTGGCATAGGTTTACGTCACAGCGTCCTGGGCTGCTGCTGCTGTGGGAATCACCGCGCGGCGCCCGTTTTTGTCGCTCATTTGTTCTCTGCTTTAGAGCCGACGCTGCGCTGGTGGCAGCACTCGCCTTCGCTCGTACTTCTTGCCTGAACTTCCACGACCAAACGCCAGGATTCCGACATCCGACAACACGACACAACGGCTCTTAATTGTTGCCACCTCAGGACCAGTTTTAGATGCGCGGGCGGCACATAGGACGCTGGACACACTGCAGTCGAGGATGCGTTCCATATGGGCACCGCGCAATCACTCACCGCGTGTGTGGCCACGTTGGCCAAGTGCTCCACCTCGGTGGGGACGTACGCCTCATTGCCGATGGGTCGTGGATTCATCAGTCTGGAACCGAACGTGGACATTGCGTCAGGCAACGGGAGTCGACGACGTACCAGAACGCGAACTGCCTTCGCGTCTTCCCGGAGCATGGAGCACCATCGGCGTACCATAATCGAATGCCCTTGGCCGTTCTTGTATATGCTCCGCTATGACCAAACGTCTTCGTTCCAAAGCGTCGGGCGGCGCGTGCGATTCTCTCAGCGAGTTTTGCGTGTCGTTGTTGCACGAGCATAAACTCTGCAGTAGAACGGCAGGACGCCCCTTCCGGATGCCTCCAGCGCGTGCTCGGTGCCTTCTGCCGCGAGACACCGAAGCAGTATCAAAGGCAGGACATGCTGCAGGAGGCGGCAGTGGCGTAGCCAGGGATTTTTTGCAGGGGGGGGGGGGGGGGCAAAATAACAATAATAATCCCTGGAGAAGGGGATTATTCTGGTTATTCTTGTCCAGCTCGCTTGCAACTTTGCAATAATAGCATTATCATCGTAACCTTAGAACGCAGGCCGTTCACTCTTAATGGTGTGAGACTGGTGGCAGCTTTTAAATCTCTGTTTGCTCTACTGACGTCTAACTTCTGGTTAGTTCACTTGGCAGAGCTCTCCGCTGGAAACGGAGGTGTCCCTGGTTTCATACCACGACCGGGCGGGTTTTTTCGGTCGCGCACCAGTCACCTAGCTGTGCTTGGAGATTTGCGTTCGTCCTTCGTACCGCCTGGTCCCCTTCTGCCCGGATTATCACCGTTATTCTTGTCCAGCTCGCTTACACCTTTGCATTTAATTGCATTATCATCCTAATGTTCCCCGGGACGATTTTAGATGACAGTCATGGAATATCAATAAGCAATAATTAAACCTTTGGACACGTATAGTTATTATTATATTTTTTTTTTATTTCACGTCTCTACAAATGTTTTTTGTTTTGTTTTTGTTTTTTGCGTTGAATCATATACGCCGCTTTCACAAAATTATCAATTTCTGCGTCTTGGCAAAAGGTCGTAATGTTCCCGAGGACTGTAATTGCCTGGGTATCATAAACGCAAATAAATTAGAATTTTGGTATTTCCTTAAAAAACTTTTTGTTCTACGGAGTGTCCCAGAAAGTTGGTCATGTTTCGTGAGGAAACACGGCCATGTAAAAACAAAAGAAAAAAAAAAATAGTCACGGATGAAGAAAGAATAAAAGAATTAAAACAGGGACAACACAACCACATCTTTAATTAAAAAAGGGACAACACAACCACATCTTTCATGAAAGATGTGGTTGTGTTGTCCCTGTTTTAATTGTTTTATTCTTTCTTCATCCGTGACTTAAACCAACACGCTCTTCTCCCAAGCAAAAAAATAGTATATATGTACTATATAGTGAACACTCCCAAACAACAAGGCTTTATATTCCAGGCCGTGAAATAAAAAAAAAAAAAAAAAATGTATCACACTTTGGACACTTCCCCAATCTATTAGACACTTTGGGCTACCCATTAACAGGGTGCGACAGACTGCTTTACAGCGTGTTGCACCATCGTGGTGCACGGAATCCCACGCAAAGCAGTAAACAGGATGGGTGCTTCTATATTGTTCGTTTATTGATGCTGTTCGCCCAGAAGGGCGGATACGGCACCTCCTTTCGCTTTATTTCGCTATAAAAAGTTATTAATTCACATACACGCGAGTTTGAAACCCAAACACAATACGCGAGGGATGTGAGCTGGCGGAGGTTTAGTATCTCGAATCCAGCAGGTTTTTCTCCCTTTGATATCTTTAAACTTGTGTTGAAGATGTTAGAGGGGTTTGCGAGATGTACTTCTCTTTAGCATAACTTGGCAAGCGGCGAAAACTACAGCCTCAGGGAGTCAATCACAGGTTCGGAGCGAGCATGACAACACGGTCGGCGTGGTCGGCGTTCACCTCTCTTAGAGTCACGTGCTTCGTTCCTCGAGGGAGTCGCAGCGTTCGCTCTTGGCCAACTTATGCAGAAGGGCAAAGTAGGGGCACTTTTAATAGTTTCGAATTTGTGCTAGGTCGCCAAGAGCAGACGACAAATTCCGGCGGCATTATCGTCTGCTTCTTTTTTCTTTTATTTTTCGTGTTTTTAGTTGGCAGACGACGGTTGGGTGCCGTCTGCTATTCTTATATGCAAGGACATGCGTTCTCCTGCGCTACCCGCGCTCTCGTCTGCTTCTCGCTAGGGAGCCTAGATTTGAGAGTGGGGGCAACTCAAAGTGTGGGGAACGCTCGCAATTCAATGGCGGACGCCTCCCGCGTTGGTTGGGTGAATGTGTGCACGCGCGCGTTGTCTAGTGGCGAGGAGGATAGCGGTGATAGAGAAGAAAAGTATTGGGTAGAGAGACGGAGCAAGGCGGACACGCTTCCGGACTAGGGAGCGATTGAAACCTTTGATTCCCTCTCGCCGCTTCCATAAACCACGTGACCCCAATAGAGCAGTCGGTAACACTCTAAAATCTAGGCACGCTAGCTCTCGTTCTCGCGACGGCGAGGGTGTCGGGTTGTGGCGTTCCCACATTCAGCGTGGCTCTCGTTTTTCGATGTCGGGTTAGTCATTCGGCGTGCCACAACAATGGGCGGCAGGGAATCAATAGCAGCGCGTCCACGCTCATGGCGCGAGGAATATCGTATTATTATATGGCTGCCGCGCTTGCACGATAGCCGCCAGACGCGACCGGAGTTTTTTCTTTTTCTTTGTTTTGTTAGTGATATAGTGCTGGGTGTCGAACGCTAATCAGGCCTAAACAGACTCGCGTAAGTAAGTCAATGAACAGAGTGCAATAAAACTTTCACAAGAGAGTTTTTAAGCGGTGCATTTATCACACACGTAAATCACGCTTAAATTTCGTACATATAAGTTTCAGGGAAAAACAAAATCAAGAAAATGAACACCGGGAGAAAAAAGGGTTACAAACTGTATCGTTGCTACTCGGAGATGATGTACCACACACACACACTCGAATCTGCTGCACCATCTTGCGAGCGTTTATCTAAAAAACATACACACACACACAAACTATGAGGTTTCGTTTTATGTGATGCCATATGCGTAAAAAAGAAAAAACGGTTTCTTTCCATTTTTTTTGTTGTTCTTTTTTTTTGTGTGCATAGGAATAACAAGATTTCTCGAATTATTTTTTTTCCCGGAAACCTATACGAATTAAATTTGAGTGTGTTAAATACACCACCAAAATACAGCTCTGCGAAAATTTACGTTGCGCTCCGCTCATTGCTTAATTTACACGATTTTTTTTTTTTCAGTTGGACAGTGCTGGGAAACATCCTGTCCATACGACGTCACGTTCGCCGCACTTTTTCGGGCTCCTGTACCTCAAAGCATTGTGACGTCCCCTGCGCACTCACCTCATAAAATCCCGAAGGAGAAATCGGGCGCGTCGGATCTCCTTGCCCTCTTCTGTCTCCATGCGGGCACGTCATCTGGAATTCGGGAGACATCAGATTGACTCCCATTTTGGACACTCACTTGTTAGATTGTTAGTGCACATAATTTGCACTATTAACATCTTATAATGAGCTTCCATCTTTAAGCGGAATGCGGATATTATCTGTTCTTTTTTTCAACTGCGCACGAGAGTATTAGCAAACCGTTTAACCGTTCAAAAATGAGAGAAAAAAAAAGACTCTGTAACCACTAGCGCTGCGAACGTCAAACTTTGAATATTGTCAGACACAAACTGACTTTCATAAAAAAAAGTTTGAAAAAATATATTTTAAAATATTGATATTACTAATGAAGCTTACAAGCAGCTGTGGTGTACGGTTAAGACAAATTGCTCGTGTGGGTCTTCTGCAGGAACTTGGGGTGCTTATAATATAATAGAAAATCGGTAGCGACCCACTTGACTTGCGGAACATCGACGTGTTTAGAGAGAACCTCAGTGTACATTTGCTTCCCTTCCCTTCGGCAGTACAGCCAAGACATAAGAAAATAGCCCTTGCTTGGAGCTTGGTGGTGAAAAAGGAAGGGGGGGGGGGGGGGGAGCTTGATAAGCATTCTTATATAAAAACTAAAACTCCCAAAGAGGAAACGCGCGCCTTTTGCCCGTTTAAGTGTCGTCGATGACGGGAGTCCGACAAGGAAGCACTGCGACGTCCGGAGCGTGATTCTGGAGGGGATACAGAAGCCAAAGACGAAGCGAACAACGGAAGGGAGCAGCCGCGTGTCGGAAGGACAGCGACGCCACACCCCGGTTGCTCTGATATTCTAACAAGCGGCGAACCAGCCTCTTCCGTCCGTTGACGGCCTGCTATTTTTCCCGCGGTGAGATTGCACACTGTGCTGCGCAACACTACGAAATGTCTGGGGAGAGTAAACAAAAAAATGCTTATAATCTCATTTTACCTTTGCGGTGACCGGATTAAATAAATTCCCTACCTGATCCTACCCGACCTGATCATTTCCCACCCGGCCCGACCCGATCAAACCCGACCCGACCCGACCCGACCCGACCCGGCCCGACCCGACCCGACCCGACCCGGCCCGACCCGACCCGACCCGACCCGAAGCGGGTCGGGTCTCGTGAAGCTTCAGCCTGTTTGCCTCTTGGGGCGGGTTGGTGATTCACGAACGATGATGTTTGCGACGGTATTGGACAGGTGCCCTCACCCGTTACCGAGACGAGGTCATGCTAGCCGCCGATCCATCTTATCAGTACCAGCGTGCGCGGCGCATTACGTTGTGTGGTGTCATGAAGTCGTGGAGCAATTCGGGACCGTAGCAAATGCGTCCTATGCGCACATACTGAACAGCTTTATTTTTAAACATAAAGTAACGAAAATAAAGGAATATTTCAAGTATAGGCTTTGCGACAAACTAAGCGGAATCGCTTAAAAATCCCCATCATTTATCACCACGGGTTTCTCAGCTAAGTGTAAAAAGAAAATATTATATATGAAGTGCGCAGCGCCGGGTTCCAGAGAATGCCGTGATTCGTCACACGCTTCCCTGCACTGTACTGAATTCTTAAAATAAGGTTATTGAT